AAATGATAATTTGTGTATTAGCTTTATAAAGATTTATAATGTAAGGGTGAATGAAGTTTTTGTATAGTTACAAATTATTATTTTGTGAAAGGGAGATCAAAGGTTATTTGGTGGTTTTTCTAAAAAGATTATTCGTGGTTTTTTTCTAAAAAGAGGGAATAAGGAGTTTGAGAAGACGGAAAATATTTTATTTAAAACTCCTATTGTAGGCAAAGGAAATGGAAGAGAAATATCGGTGGTTCATAGTATATGAAAGGACTACTGGTTATAATGTGTAGTTCTTAATAGTAGGCTATTAATTTCAAAAAATTTATGATTCCTAATAGTATGGCTATTGGCTACTTGGAACAAATATATTTGACAGATTCAATATGTTGTCTCGGTTCGAAAAATATAAGGACCATATTTGCTTAATGGGTCTATGTTGCCTTGATGAAAAATTGAATATATTTGCATGATGACGGTTAAATGTTTTTACAAAGCGAGCCTCTAAAAGAATTGTGGCGCGCAATGAATAAAAAACTTTATTATGAGATACTCCATGTGATGGAGAAATATACTTTACATGATATTGAAGCTTGAGAAGTTCAGAATATTTATAATTTGTGAAGTCAAATTTGAGGTAAATTCAAATGATTTAACTTGAGGAGTTATTGCCTTTGGTTTAGCGATGCTAGTCCATATTTATATGGGAAAAGTTAGAGATCATGAAAATTTTTTCATGAAAGTGATCATGAAAAATTTATGATCCTTGGATTACCTTAATTAGTGTGTGGTGCTTTATTCTAAGTATAATTCAAGGTCACAAAGCTTTCATGATTACTTTCATGAAAAGTTTTTCATGATACTTAACATTGCTGTATTTATATATCTCAAGGGAGATGGGCTAAGCCCCAAGAAAGTCACTAAGGGAGTAACCCAACCTTTGTGATTGGCAACCCCATGAAAGAAGGTTCAATAGGGAGAAATATTCCTTAAAGTATAACTTCGTTCCAGTACTTTATATTTTAGGAGACACCATAAGAGTGATTCTCTTACCCATCCCTAAGGCAGCAATGTTGATGAGTGACTAGTTAGGAAGGGTTTTTATCCTGAATGAATCCAAGGCAAACAATCTTCTACAGCACACATTCCGTCACTGTACCCTTAAAGGATTTTACTAAATGGGAACCGTCATGAAACCGCAACTGTGAGACTTGGGTTAGTCTCTAAAATTCACATGAAAATCAAGATTAGAGTGCATTACCATTAAAAGCACTAACTTGCGAACCATTGTCCAATACTAGTACTGTGTGTGACAAGTTAACCTTCGGTCCAAAGAGTTTAGTTCAACACTTAGTTCACTATGATTCTTCAGAGGAAAATTCTTATCACTAAGTAAGATTCAATCCGAAAGACGCCTACACCTATTACATAGTATATGTTGCCCATATTATATATTTTATTTTATATTGTTTTGTTTGTAGTTTTGAAATGTGGGGTTATATAATAAATTTTGTGAAAATATTAAAAATTTTATTTTTATTCAAAGTAGGGGATTTTTGGGATATTTTTAATAAAAATAAAACAATATATTGTTTTAATAAAGTCAATAAATTGTGAGTTAAAAAAAGATTTTATATCCCATTATTTCTTTGTTTAATATAATGTTATAATGTTAAATGGTGGTTTTTTATTATCATTAAGTGAGTTTTTATTATATAGGTTACTCTTATAAATATATGGTTTTCTATGAGTTGGAAGATGCATAAGACACACGAACACTTGACGAGGGATGTTGTAAGCAATATAAGTTTCATCTTGGAACTGTTTCACTCTGATTGTACCTTCACAAGGAGAGGAAAAATAGTTTTACGACAGTGACAACATGACTATCAAATTCTCACAATCATATTTTCCTACTCTTGATATTTGGTTATATATATTATTATTTGTTTATCGTTATTGTTATTATTTAATTGTACTAAATATTTTGTTAATTTTATTGCTAGACTAACAAAAATACCCACTCAGATGATGATATTCTGACACGTGTCAAGGAGTTGATCTCAATAACTTGTACTTTCAGGCCACTAGTAGATATCTCACCAAACGACAAACAATTTTTGGATGCTGACACATTCTTTATCAAAAGTAGAATTTTCCGTATGCTTTTATCAAAGTAGATTCTTGACAACAAAAAAAAAAAAAAAAAGCAAGTTATTCCAAAGCAAAATTATCAAACAAGGCCATGTGATGAAAGACTTCTGAATTATCTCTTCGAACTTCAAGCAGTCTTCAAAAATAATTCATTTCCTAGGTCTATATAAGGGATAGTCCATTAGAAGAATAGGCATCAAAAATTTTTACTATCAATTATACATTTATAACAATAGATTGTATGTACATGCCGTGTTTGATTTGTTTAGAAGAGTATGATCGTTTATAAATATTTGTGTATTGTACTTCTATAAGTATTTCTATATTTATATTATTGTGATGCTTGTATAATATAAATATGTTTTAATCTATTTGTTAAGATTAATTAATAGTTCTTTGGATCATTCTAATACAATTTGAATATTGTTTATAAAGTGTTGAGTGATTGTAGTAACAAGCGTAGTTATAACATCACTAATAGGTTAGTGGTTGGGTCAGTCTGATTAATTTTTTTTTCAATTAATCATTTATTTCTTGTTTATAATGTTCCATTAATTGTTTGTTCATTTGGATAGATCTAACTTTAGTATAAATATTTCGTTTATTGAAATCTTTTTCATGATAAATTAACCATATGTTGTTTGCAGTGCCAAAAAGTATGAGGTAAATCAGAGCATAAATTTTTTTCAAATAAATTTTTAATTTTGAGATAATATCCTCAATTCTAGGTTGTTCTAATTCATCTTCAATTTTTAATTTTGAGATAATATCCTCAATTCTAGGTTGTTCTAATTCATCTTCAACTAATTTCTGAAAAAATGATTCTTGAATTAATTGACAGCATAAATGATCCAAAGAGAAAACAAATTATTTAAATATTGTAATTCTTAAAATAACATAATAATAATAAATAAATAAAGAACTATCCAAAATACTACTCAAGATTTAAAATACAATACATATGACTTTAGAGAAGTCATTGACCCAGTTAACAAAATCTCCACTTCAATAAATACAACAACCAAACAAGATTTACAACATGAAATCAGGACTCTTAAAACTGATATACATGATTTGCAATTAAGGCCTCGTTTGGGAATATGTTATTTTACTAATTTTTTAACTTTTTGACTAAACTATGAGATAAAAAAAATTAGTATATTTGGAATGACTTTTTGATTTTTTACGAAAAGATGTGTAAAAAGTAGAGAAAAAAAAAATCTTTGACTTTTTTGTGTAAGTTATAAGTTTTTTGACTTTTTTAAGTAATTTTTTAATTTTTTAGTTAAAACACTCGCATGCCAAATTAGACCTAAGAGTCATAGCATTAGAGCAACGGCATGCCCCGATGAATTTCTTGAAGATCCTCTTAATAAAGAGTACCCGTAACCATGATGTCTCATGTCTTTAAGACGAGAGGCAATGGACTTATTCAATTAATTTCTTGTTAACATCTTAATACCAACTTGTACTGTTCTTAAATGTAAATAATTGAATTTTTGTTTTAATTTTGTAATATTTTCTCTATTTAACAGTTGAAAGGTTTGATTATTCTGTGTTAAAGGTATATTTTGTTCAACTGTGGTCATTTTTTGTCAAATTTTATTCAACCGTTATAATTTTGTAATTTTATAAAAAAAAAAAATTGTCATGTTCTATCTCTAAAATTAGGATGCTTCAAAATTAAGAAAGCATTCAAAATAAACTGCTCCATGCTCAAGATTTGTTTTAACATGCCCTTGGAGGCCCACTGAGGATTCCGTTTTAATAATCCGAATCGTTCAATATGTAGAACTCGTCGAGTATTATATTCTTATAAAAAAATCACATTGATTGGATATCGTTGACTATATGATCAAATCAGTTTTGTATAAACAAAACGGATGGTATGATAGTTAACTGTTAAAAAAAACTAATCCGATCATATAGCAATCAATATCCGATCAACGTGATTTTTTACAGACATATAATACTCGACGAGTTGTATATATTAACGGTTCAAATTATTAAAATGGGACCTATGGTGGCCCCCACAAACCGACCATCACTATCCAAATACTTTGCCCCGACGGAGGCAATAATTTGTTGTGTAAGACACGCTGCCCCAGCAGGACAGCCGTACAACTTACTCAACTTTCTTCCCCTATACATTTACTTATATAATTTTTTATTACACATTTTTTCATAAAAAGATAAAAATTAACCCAAACATCCATATTTTTTTCTTTAATTTTTTAGTCTAAAAAGACAAAAAAATACACTTATTTAAGACACTCCAAGCAACCCCTAAATTTTGGATGAACTAAATGTGAGTTTCACAACCATAACTACTCAATCTTGCTATGGGATGTGTAAGAAATAGATGTATTATTGATTGATATATTAATTTCTATTACAATGATTCATGATTCCTATATATAGAAGAGGGTGAGTGTGTAGTAGGTAAGGAGTAGGTGAAGTGGAGGTGGTAGTGGTGTAGTGGGTTAGGTTTAGTGGAGTAGGTGAGGTGGTAGTGGTGTAGTGGGTTAGGTTTAGTGGAGTAGGTTTAAGTGGGTGAAGTAGGTGAAGAGTAGGTGGATTTTAACAGGATGGGGCACCCAACTCCCTTGTTACTGACCGGTCAAATTTTTGGTCCACTGTAAACAAATGTATTCATAATTTTCCTCTTTAGGATAGTCGGAGACTTCCCAAAATAATTTAATTTCACATAGCACCTAAGCCATGATGAATCACCCCCACCAAAAATAAACACTAACAGAGCAAATCAGAAACATCTAATATATAAATAACTTGTACTGAACTTTTATTTGAACTTACTCGAGCATACAATGGATGCTTATACTTAAAACAACAGAATTGAATTGACCATAACAAACAAAAAAATAAATCCTGATTTCATTTGCAAAACTTTCAACTACCCTCTATATAAACATCATATATACATAAAAATGAATGTATTGTTCTGAAAAGAAAAATGTAATTACTTTCAACTTACGACCCCAGCAGAACCTGACTTGCAACAAACCAACATTTCTCAATTCCAAAATTTTCAAGGAATTGTCCTCACAGTTAAATGAACTCTAAATAATTAGGATATCCTTAAAGATAATCAAATTCCAAGATCAAATGATGGAGAACCCAGAATACCAAGCTGTGGAGGGGTCGCATCGTGAATCATCTTTCTTTTCGGTTCTGACAACTCTAATTTGTATCCAAGTAGTTTAGCAGCTTGTTCCTCCACTGCATCAAGATCAAGACCCGCGTAAAACTGATCATCATCATCAAACACGTCCACATTTGCTTCGATTTTCTGCACTTGATGATCCTGCAACAATGTTTCTCGTCCTGCAGCTTCAGATTGAACCAAGAATTGCTGTTCCAAGTTAATTGCAGGAACAGACTTGTCTTGATAAAAGCTCAATTTTCTTTTTCGACGCCCCATCTTGTTCTCATTCTCTCTAGCAGTACCACCATTTCTTGTGCACAGTATGGCTTTTGAAGAGATCTTCTCAGATTCTGAATGAAAGACTGTTGAATTCCTCACAGCAGACTCTGACCCAGTTTGAGGTGTTTGGAGAGAATGATTTATTGTTCCTGGTGAACTCCCACATTCACTCACCCGGGTCTTCGAAGCAACAGAGTCGGGACTAAAATCTGTAGAACAGTTAGTCTCCATTGGTGATTGACTTAGTAACGAGCGTCTGTTGAAAAGATAATGTAGTTGTAAATAAAATTTCAAAATGCAGCACAATTATTAGTTATATAGAAGTGAAAAGAAAGAACGTATAATCTCCAACTCCTCAATTAATTATCATCCAAGACTACTACAGAACCACTACAGCTGGTCATTTGAATCATGTCAGAAATGGAAAATTTGTCAATTAAAGAAAATGACTGTCAGCCCAACCCAGTGCTTTGGCTGGTCAGCCAAGAACCCTACCCACGTCCAAGCGAGCCTGGTAAGCTAAGCTATCAGAAATAGCTTCATAAATTTGATGCACAGGGCAGTCCATCATTGTGAAGAGTATGCTTAAGCATCACAAATTCACATTGCTTGGTTAAAAGAACAAATACCTTTAGAGGCTAATTTGCACAGAAGTCCATGATCTAATTATGGAATTTTCACCTCAAACACAGAGAACCACATAAATAACAACGAGAATAAAACAGAGGCAAAAACTTATCAAAACCTGTAAATTGCCATCATGCCACTTCTACTAGCTTCAGCTTGAGTACTTGCTGCTGTAGGATTTAACCTGTCATCTATAAAGCTATCACCATAAGAATTGTTCTCCTGCTCATCCTCCTCATCATCAGATACTTCAACATCTGAAGATACCCTGAGAAAATTTAATAAAAATCAGCAAAATGGGAATTTTTTTTTTTTAAAAAAAACAAAATTATTAAAAAAATACTGCTACAACAAGCTTCTTAGCTTAATTCACTTGAATCCAGAGTTTTCCTCATATCCTTCAACAAATGCAGTGCTCAAAATGATGAAAGAACTGTTTGTACACATGCAATATTAACAAAGACTTACCCAGCTTCCTCATCGATGAAGGCGCTGACATCCTTTACTGGCTTCCGTTTCCCTGAATGCAACAACAGATACCGAGTAAGCAAGACAAAAATGGACTGAAATACAAGGTCTGTGTGTGTGCGCGTGCACGCACGCTCGTGAGAGAGAGAGAGAGAGAGGTCAACAATTAGGAAGCTCAGTATTGACAGGATGAAGAAACCAGATACAATAATACAGTATGAACACTTGAAATGTCCATCAAACATATATTTCATTTTACTTTTACCATTCTTCACCAGAATAGGACTTTGTCTTGAACAATCTCTGGCTGGGTTTGTTTTATGGCCAACATTTCCTTCTTTGCCTTCTGGAAGCCTCCACTTGCCTTGTTCTCCATACTTGCACAATCTTTTAAACTTTTTTCCCTGTTGAACACTTTCCGACTTGCCTCCAGAACTCAAACACCAGTCTTTGCTACAACTATTGTTCATTAAATTTACTAAGGGGGTTTGAACTTCTTCATTGACTGGAAAAGCAGAGATGCTTCCTCTTGTGGCACTACACTTCAAATTGAGTACAGGAGTTCGAATTTCTTCATTAACAGAAGAAGCTGGAGCATCGCTTCCACAAGCACTACCATTTATAGCTGTCTTTTCTTTCTGCTCCGGAATTGAAGACCTCAGTAACACATCAGTATTTGATTTAGCAGGTGAACCAAGGTCTGGTACCATTAACTTGTCACTCCCTTTACCTTTTGATGTCCCTGCAAAATTCAATAAATTTTCAGTGTAGTTTAGCTACGAGTGTGAGTACAAATGTAAGAAACTATTTTAAATTTCAACATTCGACATGCACAAAGTATAACATTATGGAGAGAAATACCAACCAGCATAATCTATAGGAGACTCTGGGACAACGCCACTCTTGATAAAATTAGTTAACCGAGGACTAAGCTCAACATCTCTCGGGTCATTGCTTGAATCACCAACTAACAGCGCTTCTGTTTTGTTTTCCTGAGGTACCTTGTGAGTGCTATCTCCTTCGTTTGACAAACCCACCTTGGAAACTGGGGTTTGACAAAACTTCCCATCCTCATCCAGTTCATTCTCTGTCTGGGGATCAGGGTTGCATGATTTAGATGACAGCATGTTCTCATTTTCTTTGCTTCTTGTCTGAGAAGAAGCTGTTTTGCCAGAAATGTCTTTTACCCTCAGAGTCATATCTTTGTAGTCTCCGCATGACGCCTTAAAATGAAAAGAATCTTGCTTCAAACAATTTAGCAAGCTTGTATTGTTTGCACTCGTGCACTTAGAATGTGAATCTTCTTTCAGAGGAAGTACAGGTACAGATAAAATCAAGACTCTTCCAAGAGAGTCAATGGATACAAAACCAGAGCCAAACAGGTGAGAGTGGATGGGAAGATTTTGGCCATGAGAATCTGGAAGACAATTCTCCTCCTTAGTTACTGAGGTCTCCATAGGTAATGGATCAAAATCTGATACTTTTCTCAGTGAATACTCTTCTGGGGAATTGTGAGTACTCTGTAAATCTGAAATAAGTTTTCAAAAAGGTAAAATACTAGAGAAAACTAAAAATCTGTAGCATAACAAGCATCTTTAAATGCTTATATGCAACACTGCCAGAGAAAAGTTGCATATTGACTTAGAAAGCCATCATATTTTCTAACCAACTGGAGGAAAGCGCGCGCGTGCGCTTGTGTGTGTGTGTGTGTGAGAGAGAGAGAAAGAGAGCATTGCTGCTACAATATGTTGAAAGCTTTCAAACTTCAGCAGTTACCTAGTTAACTCTACAAGCCAACATTTGACTTGAGATTATAGAGTATAAAATATGCATGTGTGTGCAGGTATGGGGACAAAGTGCTCCTTTTGTTTGTTTGGGCATAGTTACCAATCGCATACTAGCCCATATACGCTTTTCTCTATTGATATGGTGTGCACCAATACCTGCCCATTTTGGTGCAAAGTTTTGGGTTTATCAATATAAATATCGTATATTTATCAAAACATTATATTTAATTGTAAAATTCATGTACTTAAAAAAGATATATATATAATATTATCTCTAACAACACCCTGGGAAGTCCTCATGTTGCACCCCTTTTGCCACTTTCTTTGATTTATCAAAAAAATATATATATATTATCTCCAACAAGAATTGTTCAAGACCAATGCATCATTAAAATATACATTAACAAATAATTTATCATCACACAATAAAAACATTAAAGCATATTTTCTCATACATATTCATCATAAAACATGCAATAAATAAATCACTAAACTAAAACATGCATAACCCTTAAGTGCTTCAAAAAGACTTTAACGGGCATAACCACCATATGCTTTTATTTAGCTCATTTATTACTTGATATAAAAGGCTTTAAATTTCGTTTAATTCACAATTTAACCGACCCCCATCTTGTGTACCAGATTTCCAGCCAATATCGTCTAGTATGGGTCGAGACAGGCCAGTATGGTCCAGAAAATTAGCTGGAATGTTAATGAACCTTAATTGTACCATATTTCATTTAACGTATAAAAATGCATTAGTGTAATGGCCTTTTTTGTATCTATGGCAAGAAAATAGTGTAAGGTATCTGTACTTGACACATGCATTTTGGGGATGGGATTGTGGACTAGACACCGTTCACACAGTTACACGTTATAAGTTATATTTCCACCATTTACTTAAATGCTTAATAATAAACAGCTACACATTCCATCTAGTATAGTAGGCCTTTGATAGTGAGTAGCTACTAGCTCATCATGTTCCCAATCCCATATAGGTGGGATTGGGGATGCAACACCTATGAACCTCAGCATGAAAGTAAACACATCTTGTGAGAAAGAGACAATGCAAAAACCCCACAGGTCCATTTATGTCCGTTCACTTTGAACCCAAGGAAAATGAACATGGCTGCCATTGTTGATGCAACATGACAGTGACACCTTGACAACCTTGGTATTCAGACTAGGTTGTTTTCTTCTCATCAGACTCAAAATAGGTGAACAGGGCTTGATAAGAATGCAATTAAAAGGTGTGACTAAGAGTTGTTTGGAAACTAGATTAGAATATTGAGGAGTTTCAAACTTCAATTTGCTTCTTTCTTCTACTTCAGTTCAAGAAAATCATACAGAAAGCTAATAGTAACTTGATTGAATCCAAAATTTTAAGTTTTCCAAGACAAACCAAGAAAATTGGGAACCTTGATCAAGTCATGCACTAATAATATCAGAGTGTCAACTTGTTGATTGACTTCTAAATTTTCCGAGTAAATTCACAAGCATTAAGTAATTAGTAGCATTCCAATGTAAAAGATTTTCATAAAACCCTCTCACCAGTCGGGAGCACTAGAAAAAGGAAAGGAAAAATAGTAAGACTGCAGCAAGTGCTGCACAGGACCATACATGTTGAAATACGACTCGGTGAGCTGGGAAAGCATAATAAGAGCACACAAAAAAATAAAAGTAACATTAAACAGTGAATCACTTGCAAGATGTAATATAGAAGAAAAAAGAGCATTGCATAAGCATACGTAAACTATTAGAGCTCGAAATGCATTGTTGGGCTCACTCCATTGCAATTAGTTATCATGGTATCAGAAAATTGGTTCTACAAGGTCCCAAATTCAAGCCTCATCATATGTCTTTCATCCTCCATTTCATTTGTAGTGCGTGTTCTATTCTGTGTGTTTATACAGTGTATACATACCTCATTTAGTTCAGTATGTGTGCCAGTTTGTTTCACCGCATGCAAGAGGGGCTCACATGAGGGAGGGTGTGAGAGCTTGATAATAGCTTATTTTTTTGGTTCAATAGGTTACCCTACAGAAACAACTATATTGGCCCTAAAAACTTTTGTAAGAATATGCAGGAGTTTTGGCAAAGGAACAGAAACACCTATAGTCAATCCAGTTTAAATAGGATCCCAGCATAAAAGGATTCTTCTTCATAATGGTATAGTGCAGAGAAATACTCAACAATCTGACACTAACCATATAAAACCCTGACTGATTAATTTTTTTGTACCACAAGCCTTTTGATCTGTGGAAGATGGCATTACCTTTCATACAGTTTTCATGCTGCTCAACATTTTCAACTCCCAAGTCCAAACTTGAGAGGGCTTCATCCTGAAGATTGACAGATGTCGCATTAGTAATACCCATACAACAGAATAAACCAACCCCAATACAAAATCAGAAGCAAACCTCTTGAAAGAAGGATTTGCTGTCCCTAGAAAATGATAAGCCTTGCAGCCGTTGCATTGCATCAATCAACATCCCTGTTCTGAATGAATGCATAACTCTGTGCACTCTGGAGGGAATTGCCTGGAAATGAGGGAAGGCAATAAGGGATGGTCTCCATGTACTCCCTTTGGTAGGGTGGAAGTATTTAGCAACTAAATCAGTCTCAGCATCAGTTAGTTTGGTCTTAAAGACGGGGGTCTGGATAGGATGATCATCTTTCACTTTTCTGCCACGAGGAATGAACTGTTCAATTGATAGCTCAATCAACTGAACTTCTGGTTTGAAAATATGGGGAATCTACAAATAAAACAATACAAAACATAGAGGTTAAGAAGGTGATAACTGAAAAATCAAAGGGAACTATTAGGCAACCTCATCTAGTATCGACTCTCCTATTTTCCCCACAGAACCCATGTCTACCAGATATGATAAAAGTATGGGTGTGGGATATATGTCTGACATCCATACCAATTTATACACTTGGATCCTCTAACTTTTTATGATGTTTGAAAAATTTTACCTTTTCTAGTAAAGAAATATTTCTTGCCTCACATGGATAGGAGATAAACCTATGTAATTTCAAGCACATTTCTAAATAATTTACATAATATCATCTACGCATATTATATAATATGCAATATATAAGTGTTCAAGACACGTCTTCATACCCATACCCAACTTTTTTATACATATCCAATATGCTAAGATTTAGGTATAGGAAGGTCCGACACTTGGACCCGCACCTGCACCCGCACCTGCACCCAATACTCATACCCGAATGAGTAACATAGGACCTCATCTAGTAAAGCTCACCATTCTTGGACTAGAATGAAAATTGAAGCTATTCATCCCCCCATTTCGCATGTGTTTCTTAATAGCTTTGCTGTTTGCTTGCTTTCGCATGTAACCTTTCAACTCGGACCCTTCACAGGCTAAAACAAGTAAAGCTTGTTAAGGAAGATTTTGAAAACAAATACAAGAATTTCCAACCAAAATTTTTATTTGAATGATTTCAGAAAGCTGGAAGAGTGCACAAAGAAAATATAGAAAGTAATTCGTCAATTATGCAGGCAATCTACTCCATTAAACACATTAGCTAGACAGCAAAAGGATATCAACTCGTCCATCATGCTTTCTTCCAGTCCTCCCCATGCGCTGAATCATTCTCAAAGGAGAGATATTAGCATCAAAACAAATGACAAGGTCAACCTCCATGATATCTAGGCCTTCTTCACCAATTGATGTTGCTACGATTACGTTGTATCCACCAGCCCGAAACTTCTGTAAAGGAATGAAGTTAGCTGATGTAAAGAGTTAAAACTTAACAGCAATGAAGAGTAAAAAAAAAATTACCTCCAAAACAGCCTGTTGAACCTTTTGTGATTGGCCCTTTAATGTTTTTCCTGTAAAAATACTATAAGCACTTCACAGAAGATTATATTTCATCGTATTTAGAACTAGACTACCATATTCCCAATATTTTAAACATTTAACAATTGTTCAAAGAGAGCACATATTTCTTCTAAGCCATTTCAGGTTTATGTCTTAATGAAAACAACATTTTATAACAAAAAGACCACCAGCCTGACAAGGTTCAAGTTGGAAGCATGGAATCACAGCACTCAAGAAGAAACGTTACCTAAAATAAGAATTCCTGTAACCGAGAGAACCAATGAAGCATTGATACACATACAAGATAAAGATATGACATGATACGGACTAGCCAGTAAGATAAATTCATGAAAAATAGGATAGTCACATCAAAGACACAAACATATACACACATCCATGTATATTATGTGTATCTATTATGTGCAATCTCTTAAAAAAGATAAATTTCCCGAAAATTTAAATAATTAACTATATTGCTTCTTGATTTTGTAAAATATTCTAAATTCACTTATGTTATGATTTATGGTCATGGACTTCAGACCAAATGAAACCCATGTAATCTCATTATGTCTTTTCTTTATTTGGCAGTATGGTAAACCAAATTCTTCTAAAAGTAGTCAAAGTATTTGAAAACCCTATTTTTGTTTTTCTTAAGATATTAACATTTAACACTGTGCAACACATGCAACATCTCCATGTTGAAGATGTGTTGGATGTATTCTGAAGTACATGAAAAGACATGTGTCTACAAGTGTCCAAAAAATATCCATATTTAATACGATCTCTGTTATCAAAATCTTTCGCGATTCGATTCGCAATTTTTGTACAATCGATATAAATCTATAGGTGAATCTATTTTGGAAATGAATCTCTAGTAAATACGATTCATGCAATTCTTGAAACTATCGTGTCCAACATATTTTTGACTCTTTTTTCACCATTTCTTTTAGTGAAAATGACATAATACAACTTCTAATAGCGTTTAATACCAAAATAACTAATATATACATGATTTGTTGGTGATCATGGACTTTTTAATAAGATCTAATTAGATTCAATCAAACCTAACATGTTTTTAACATTTCTTCTCAATTTATCTTTTAAAAAATCATAATATACCTTCTAAAAGTGTTTAAAATTAAAGTAACTTACATCATGAATTATCTATTGTTATTTTATTAAATTAAATATAGTTGAATATTTCATAGATGAGATCAATTATACCTTTTTAAATGTTTTAGGCTTTAAAATAAAATATCCTAAATAATTCTCTCTTATTATTTAGTCATTGTTACTTGAAAAAGTATGTATGCTTATTGTCCAAATTTCAATATGGTCAAATTATTGTTACTTTAGAAATTGAGAGTTTGTCTTTGTTTACTGTCTTTATTAAGAATGGTTAATAAAAATATCTTAAAAAGAAAAAAGGTAAAATGGTGATCTTACAGAGGAACCTTTGTTAACTTCTTACTTAATAAACTATGTGATCATCATTCAAAACAACATTTTCATTGATTTAAGTCTAAGGTTGCGTTTGGTAGAGTTTTGTAATTATTATTTGAGAGTATGAGTTGTATTTTGAGTTTGTAAGGTTTGGAATTATGATTTGTGTGTGGAAAATTTGTTTGGTAAAGAGTTTTGAAAACAGTTTGGAAAAGAGTTTTGAATTGAGTGAGGAATTGTTGATGTGACATTTGATATTTGATACAAAAATTTACAACTCATAACTAAACATACAACTCAAAATTATTTTAAAGCACATAAAAAAAATTTAAAAATTCAGAAAATATTTTTTTCAAATATATAAAAATTAACATATCAATTGCAAAATAAAAAATAAATAAATAAAAAAAATTCACTATTCCAGTCAATCGGCGGGACGACCGGTTAGGCCAAATTTTGAAAAAAAAAATTGAAAAATGCACTCTGTTTGACAGAGTTTTCTGCAGAGTTGTGGAAAATTAATTCCACAACTCTATCCAAACATCATACTCAAACCATCAAGCAGAAAACTAGTTTGAAAACACAACCAAACAGAGCCTAAATGTTTCATATTCATAAGATATATTTAACATCCACGTCTGTAGATATATTTTTCTAAATAGTTTAGAAAAAGTGATCGAATCATTACGATTCACGATTCGATTTGATTCGATTCGCGATTCAATATGAGGCCATTTCGATTCAAGATTCAAATCCCGATTTGATAACTATGGGTATGATACGATACAATACAATACAATACAATACAATACAGGCATGACTCCCTTGTAGAAGTATCTAAGCTTCATAGCTGAGAACCAAATAAGAGTTAGTAAAATTTTAAAAATTCCAAATGACTTGATAATTCAACAAAACATATTGACTATAATTAAACTTTCAGTAGAATCATTACATATTGAAGTTGATAACCACCTGTAATTAGATTGCCAACAAGTTTATGGGCAGCTTGACAATTGGATTAAGAAGTGTTTGGATCCAGAAAATATAACCCTAGATTAAAGCTACAAAGACTACAGAATCAGCAAAAACTGATATAGAATAAAGCTACAAGGAAATACAAGGTGGCCTATATATAACCCTAGGTAGAACAAAATAATATTGTACTCATGGCCTACCTAAGCTGAAAGAAAAGATTTCACTGAGTTGAGTTGGTTGTACTGGAGAAACTAACTTAAATCATTTCTAGACCTATAGAACATATAAGAAACAAATGATAGATGTTACAGTCAATTAAACAGAATTTAGCATATCCTGGAATGAAAATATATATATGTACGTATGACATATGTATCTCTAACAAAAGAATAAGATTACAGGATTACAACATGCTTAAACAAATTGTTTTGAATTTATGGCACAGCTTGTATCTTTTGAGGAATGTTATGTGAGTGGCACCAAAAGGTAGTGAGCGTATGCTCCTAGTTGATTTTCGCACTTTCGGAGGATCAAAGAGAGCCGAAGTGCTATGGTCTTGTGCCATCTTTGCAACTTTTTGGGTTCTATGGTTGGAAAGAAATGCCTGGTTATTCGAAGATAAATTTTAGGAAGTGGATTGTTTGTGGGATAAAGTCCGGCACTTAACTTCCTTTTGGGCATCAGGGAATTCCCCCTTTAAGGGGGTTCCACTTTTTTGGTTTGCTAGAAATTAGTTGTCGGTGTGTGATATGTAGGCTTTGCTTGAGATGATCTTGTTTGGATTATGCTCTTTGTATTTCTTTTTCCTTTTGTAGAGGATGCCTTATCCTCACTCACTTTTTGATTTATCAATAAAATCTTTTGTTGTTGATCCCAAAAAAAAAAGAAAGAAAGAAAAAATTGCTTAAACAAAAATTACAAAGCAACAAGATCACATACCCGAGCTTTGGCCAATAAACTGGGTAGCTTTAACCAATTCCCCAATGCTTGTTAATGCATCCATTATGTCTCTGAAGTGGATATCATTATCTCAATGGTAGATTTTTAAATAAAATTAAAGAAGAAGAAAAAAAAACACAATGCAATATTGGAAAAGAATCTAAGTCTGAAAACAAAATCACAACAAAATAGTTTAATGATATCATCTTCACCTGACACTTCCCCTGAAATTTGAGAAAATGATAACCCTTGAGTTCTGTGGATCTTTCATTTCTACACCACCAAATTTAGTTGTCAGATTAAATCCATAAGTCAGTCTTACAAATATCACCAACAAAAAATTAGAACTGGAAAAAAAAAAAAAGAAAATTATCTGAAAATAACTATTATTGTGAAAGATAAATGAAAATCTCCATAGATCTGTGAATAACTACAAGTATAGGGATGGTCATCCACAGAAGAAAACCAATTCCAGAATCAGTGAAGTCTGTCAAAGATACCTAATATTGTGTACCACATCATCATTGTCTAGCAATTTGTCAAAATTGCAAAAAAGAAATTCCAATTCAAGTTTGCAATGCAGTCTAAAAAATAGTACGAAGCAGAGACAGAAAGCAAAAACTAACTTTCAAATGAAAAGACAGCAACAAATGAGACAAAAGTAAGACACCATGCCACATACTGAAATGATCAATCAGTACTTCTAACATTTTCGACAATTTGGGACTAGGAGCTCCGTGCGACAAGCTTTGCTGCATTAGAAGCTTTGCTCTGTGTATACCTTCATTTCTACTCATAAGTCGCGCAAAAGGCCTGCAATAATTGATATCAATGACTTTCAGAATGTTAAACGTGTTTAGAAACATTTTCAAAATCTAATACACTTAGCAAACACTTGAAATGTAACACAAGGGTTGGGATCAACCTACACCTTCATAACTTTTTCACCAATTCACAGTTCAAAGAACTGATCATTGGATTAGATATTCTTCCAATGCCCATAATACATGCCAAATTTCAAGTTGATTAAAGATAGGTAACTATCTGATGATCTCATCCATAAACTCACATTTCTCTAGATAATATAATTTATTTGGAGTACTATTTAGATGAGAAATCTCCTGACCACTTGTCAATCTCAAATGTGGCATGCACGATCAACATAAGAGAAGTATCTAATCCCTGGATTGTGGGCGGTCGTAGTGATGTGGGCAAACCATGGGCCCTTTGAGAATTATGGTACACACTAAGGTGGCACAAGACCACCAGAGGTGAAGAGTGAGAGAGTTGAGGCAGACATCAGGTAGAGAGAGAGTGGAATTAGAGAGAAGCCTCTGAACTTGCAAGAGGAAATGACCTATTTGTTGTGTATGGAGGAAAAGATCTCATTTAATAGGAGGGTTGGGTCATAGGGGGGCAGATGAACCTCGCATGGTGGCCCATGCTTGGAGACAGGAGGTTGGGTCATCCCCCTTGGCCCAACTACACCAATGCTCAAACCTTGAGGGTCTACAAAGAGCTATAGTGGGTAGGTAATATACATCCCACAAGTTATCACATGACTTGGTCAAAGTCTAATCTTCTTGTAGAGGCATCTCTCTCTTGTCTAAGATCGATCAAAGTGGAGCAACCCCGAGGGGATGAGCCAAGCAACTTTGAATATCCCTCAACTCCAGCCACTAATCCACAAGTCCCTGGTCATCTCAGACAGGGTTAAGGGTCACTCAGGCATCCCATGACCAAGGCATTGACTCCGAGGGGTCCCTAGGACCTGCTCTTGACCTCGGATAGCATGATAGTGTGAGGATGTCATTCTGGAGATGGCTCGTGAAACAAAGGAAGTGCCATGGCAAGGCAAAAGCGAGGTGCTAAGTAAATAAACAAAGAAAATCACAAGAAGGCAAGGCAAGACAAGGCACTTATGCAAAGCGGAGGCAAGGTGTCTAGGCTGAGGAAGACAAGGCGCCTAGGCAAGGCCATGAAGAAAGGTTTAAGTCATGCCTTATACTGTGGAGGGTGTTCACTATCCTTCACCAACACCACTATCATATTATATACATTAACACAAATTTCCAGCATTTATGAAATATGAATCTATCAAAAAAATTATGAATGGAAGTAATACTTCCTAATTTTACATGAGGTGTAAGTTGATCCTACCCAAAACAGAAATACAAAACATGCAAACTACCATTGGAAATTGGAATTGTTCAACTCACAAACTAGTCATTAGAACTATGGGGAACCCATTTCTTTGAAATGGTCTGACCAAATATCAAGAGGATTACAGGCTTAATGCAAATTGCAAATATCAGTGCCCAAGCCAAAAGTTGGATATCACAATTCTTTTCATCAAATTAATAAGCGGTGGAAAAATAGACCTAATATATTACAACAGAAGGAATAGAATTAACTTAATTCAACAATGGTCACATTGAACTCATCATGCACAGTTTCTTGGAAATCAAATGTTCTTGAAATTGAGACGGTGCTTATGAACAAGGACATACCCTTGTTGCAACTTCACTTCAAGCATCTCATATGCTGGCCTTATTCCATGGCTTGAAAGTAACTTGCGTATATGGTAAAGAGTAATAAGAGCTCCAAAATATCCTTCCACTTCTCCACACTTCACAGAGGGAAGGTCTTGTGGCGGTGCTTGACGAAATTTATCTCTTGAATTAAGTAAATCACATGGGCTTAACTGTCACATATCAAAAATATATGTGTGAATAGAAGACTGGACAGGTAAACACAACCCAAAATCCAAAATCTTAGAAAAACATGGAAAGGCAAGTGAATTCACATATATAGCTCCACATTAGGTGAAGAAAAACAAATTGAACCTGCCAACCACCAACAAATAAGGGTAAGATTGGGCAATACACACTTAGCAACATAGTCCCCATTCCAGCTTAAAATCATGTGCTGGTTTAGTTGAATTTTGTAATACGACAATAAGGTTGAATATAGAGAAATAAAAAAAGATAGAAAAGATAAAAGAAAGAACACAAAGGTTTAATGTGGTTCAGCCAATCTTGGCCTACGTCTACACACACAAAACCCTATGAGCTACATCTTTCACCCACTCAACTTGATACTCTTGTTTTCATGATACACCATATTAATAGAGCGGGAGATACAATCAAATATCTTCAATTAAAAGATTAAAATAAATCAAAGACCCAAAACATCATGATAAACACAAATCATGGGATCTCTATATATTCTGATATCTTTAATAATATAGTCTTATCTTCAACACTCCCCCCAAGTTGGAACAAAGAACGATTGAAGTAAAGTGTCCAACTTGAACTCGAAAATAGGTTGATCATCACAAACAACTATAATTAAGTTGTCAAAAAACGACAACAATTGTAATAACTCCCCTCAATGACAACTTCGGAGAACATAGGCAAGGAATCAACATCTTACACCAGAGAAATGTGAATGTAATTAGTCATGATGGTAGCAAGAGAAACCAACCAAGAGAGAGAAAGAAACAAGGCCAAAACAACAGCAAATCACCACAAACAGAAAGTCCGAAAGAACGATGTATCACAAAACAAAAAAGGTTATCGGAGAAGCTGTGTACCACAAAAAATGTTACCGAACATACCAATAGCTCCAAATATGCGAAAAAAACAAAACCGTTGCTTACCACATCAGCAACAACCACCCTAAAGAATTACCCAAGGTGACCAAGAATAATGAAAACAAACAAGCCTGAAACTCGACATATCGCAAAATAATGCTATTGAACTCACTGGTGACCCTGAACAAGTGATTTCATAGAGTTTGCTTAGCACATCAGCAAACCAGTGGTCAACTCAAGGAAGAGGGAAAAACACCTTGATAACAAAAAATGCAGAGTGAGAAAGCTCTCTGGCGAGAAATGTGCCTAGGATTTGGTAGGCTCTGATACCAAGTTGAATTTTATAATATGACAATAAGGTTGAATAGAGAGATAAAAGAGACAGAAAAGATAAAAGAATATAAAGGTTTATCGTGGTTCAACCAATCTTAGCCTTGTCCACACACACCCAAAGCCCTATGGGCTACATTTTTCATCCACTCAACTTAATACTCTTGTTTACATGATACTCCATCTTTATAGAGTGGGAGATACAATCAAATCCCTTCAATTAAGGGATTGAAATAAATCAAAGATACAAAAAATCATGATAAACACAAATCATGGGATCTCCATATATTTTGATATCTTCTATATGTTCTGACAACTTTAATAATATAATCTTATCTTCGACAAGTTTTGCAAAAAATTGGTTAACTTATTTTGCCAACCTTACAAAATGCCTGTAGGTACCCAAAAGATAAATTCATGCTAGCAGCATCTTCGATATGAAACTAAATACTGCCAGTACCCACTTCATAAATGAGTTAATTTGGAGCATTATCAACCAGAGGACAGCACCAAGTACTTCTGTCTCTTCAAATTGTTTTTTATACAAAAAAAATAATTAAAATAAAATAAAATAATTTGGCTGCTTGCTATACAAAGTTATGAGCACACCTCAGGCTTCTTTATCATCTAATAGAATGTCAGTGCAAGGTTACTTCTACACCAAGGCATAGTCATAAGAACCAGCACAGCCTGACCAGTAAAAATGTTGAACCAGAAATGTGGACACTTGGCAGTCTGGTTCACATCATTGAAGCATATATGAATGTTGGATGATAAGAAAAAAACCAAAAGGCTATAGTTACAAGAAGATCTGCACCTTGCAACTACAGAATCAAATTGGAAGCCGTAACTAGCAAGCCTACAACTGATTTTATATAAATGTAGGCAAAAAAAAAAAAAAAATTAAGACCTTGCAAAGTAGACTGGGTTAGTAGACAACTTGTGATAACTTTGACACCAAGTTGAGGAGAACTTTTTGACATGCAAAGAACAATAACACTTGCTGCTGTCTTACTGCTGTTCTGATGCTACAACCTCATAGTAACAGAGGACATTGCCTCAAACTGTGGCTGACACCCGTATCTTTGATGCGGCCAATTGGTTAAAACATGCCAAAACTCTTTGCCACTTGTCTAATAGTGGGGCCATTTACAACTTCCTTCTTTATAAGAATTCAACAGATTGACAAAAACATAGAAATTTCCAAGAAGCACATTCTTAGCATTTGAAAGTTTTAGAGAAGAGAAAGAGATAGGGAATGAGTGAGACCTCATCCCCTTTTATATTAAGAATAATGCATAATTACAGAAATGCCATAAGGCATGAATTACGGGCTAGCTCATTACAGCCCATTACATCAATCAAGGAATAAAAACAAATCAGAATAAAATATGTTAATATAATTTCCTATTTTAACACTCTCCCTCAAGCTAGTGCAAAGATATCTCTCATGCCCAACTTGTTGAAAATGTCATGAAATTGTTTGCTCCCTATTCCTTTGGTGAGAGCATCTGCTTATTGATCTCCAGTCTTCACAAATAAAGTACATATGGTGCCACAAGTGAGTTTTTCTTTGATGAAGTGCCTATCAATCTCCACATACTTGGTTTTATCATGTTGACGGGGTTATGAGTTATGTTGGCCACTGCCTTGTTGTCACAGTACAATCTCATGGAATCGGTCTGATGGATCCCCAAGCCTCCCAACAATAGTCTAATCTATACCAACTCACATACACCCTGTGCCATAGCCCTGAATTCTATCTCAGCACTAGATCTAACAATCACATTTAGTTTCTTACTTCGCCATGTGACGAGATTGCCTCCAACAAATGTGCAATTTCCAGAAGTTGATCGTCTGTCAGTGACTGATCCAGCGCAATCCACATCAATAAATTCCTTCACACTGAGATGTCCATGTTTCGAGAAATAGAGTCCCTTTCTAGGAAAAGTCTTTAGGTACCTATGAATTCTCATTACTGCCTCTAAGTGGGAAATTCTAGGAACATGCATAAACTGGCTAACCATGCTTACTGCAATGGCAATGTCTGGACGCAAGTGGGATAAGTATACGAGCTTGCCCACTAGCCTCTGGTATCTCCCCCTAGCCACTGGCTCTCCCCCTTGATCCTCACTTAGTTTCTAACCCGATTCTAGAGGTGTATCACATGGTCTACCTCCAAGCATCCCAATTTCCTTTAGCAAGTCAAATATATACTTCCTCTGGCATATGAAGATGCCATCCTTGGACCGAGTTACTTCAATGCCCAAGAAATACTTCAAATTACCCAAATCTTTGATTTCAAACTCCTTAGCTAAGTATTCCTCAACCTAGGGATCTCCTCAATATCATCCCTTGTCAGAATAATATCATCAACATAAACAATAAAAAATGTGGTCTTACCATAAGGGAAGTGTTTCACAAATAAGGTGTGATCAACTTGACTTTGCTTGAACCCATATCTCAGCATAGCTTGAGCAAACCTTTCAAACCACGCCCTAGGAGACTGCTTTAGCCCATAAAGTGACTTCCGAAGCCTGCACACTTTGCCTTTGGACTTAGCATCCTCAAAACCAAGAGGAATATCCATATAGACCTCTTCTTCTAAGTCTCCATAAAGGAAGGCATTCTTTACATCAAACTGATAAAGTGGCCAATCCAAATATGCAGCAAGAGAGTAGTATTTTCACAGAGTTCATCTTAGCAACCGGTGCAAATGTCTCCTGGTAATCTACCCCATAAGTCTGAGTGAAGCCTTTAACAACCAGTCTGTCTTCGTACTGTTCTATGGAACCGTCTGCTTTATGTTTTACAGTGTACACCCACTAACACCCAATTGGATTTTTTCCTCTAAAACTCCACTAACGCCCAAGTGTCATTCTTGCTAAGAGCTTTCATCTTCTCCGTCATGGCATGTTTCTATTCAGGAATAGAAAGAGCATCATGAAAATTATTAGGCAGACCCACAGAAGAAATCTTAGACAGAAAGGTTTTATATGAGGGAGACATATTAGAATAAGAGACATGATTAGTAATAGGATGTTGTGTACATGAGCTAATCCCCTTCCTATTAGCAATTGGAACATCAAGATCTAAAACCTCAGGAATGGAAGCATTAAAATTACCTGGACTCTCAGGAGAGGGGGGATGACTCTGGACACTCATCCAAAAAAGAAGTTGGCAGTAGAGAAGAGGAAGTAGTCTCTTGCATCTAGGCGACTTTCTGTCTATTCTTGTCCTTGACATAAACTTTGCTTGCTTCCTTTTCCACAACAACTGCGGGCTCATCATCCTTTATATGTTCAACCACTGGCGGTAGTGGAACAGGAATCTCTTCACACCAAGGCTCCCCCTGAAGGGATGACTGTGACACTGTAGAGGTGAGAAAGTAAGATTGAGACTCAAAGAATGTGACATCCATTTAAACCATTTGCGAGTGGAATGATGATAACACTTATAACCCTTTTGAGTGGCAGAATAACCCAAAAAAACACACTTAAGAGACCTAGGATCCAATTTTCCACAGTGCGGTGAATGATTATGGACAAAACAAACACATCCAAAGGTCTTAAGTGGAATGGAGAACCCAGAAGAAGTGGACCCGAACAAAACTTGAAAAGGGTTTGTTTTTGAAGGACTTGGGTAGGAAGACGATTAATCAAATAAGTTGTAGTGAGAACCGCTTTCCTCCAATAAGATCGAGGAACACGCATTTCAAAAGATAGCCAACGGGCCACATCAAGGAGATGGCGATTTTTTCATTTGGCAACACCATTTTGTTGAGGGGTATTAGGGCACGAAGTTTGATGAACAATGCCATGAGTTGTGAAATAACTGGCAAAACCAAAGTCAATGGCTAAGTTTGGTTTGTTTTTTAGAAAAAATTTTGGAAAAAATTCTCTACAAACAAATTTTCAAGAGTAATCAAACCAAACAAATTTTTTCAAAAAAAATTTCAAAATTTTGTTTGGTTAACTACTTTCCAAAATCACTCTCTCTCTCTCATACACATCAAATCAATCACTTTTTTTAAAACACTTAGAAAATATGAGGAAGAAGAACTCCGAAAATATGAGGAAGAAGGAATATATTTCTGTTATATTCAAAACTTCTTATTTTACAAGACCAAATGACACTCCTTATATAGGAGATATTACAAACATCATTATAACCCATTATATGCCACTTACATATTATATATTACCACTACCTACCACTATCATATTATATACATGCCACTATCTACCACCAACACCACTATCATATTCTATACATGCCACTATCTACCACTAACACAACTATCATATGCCACTATCTTATTATATGCATTAACACAAATTTCCAGCACTCTCTCTCCCCAAAACAATTTTCCAAAACCATTTCTAAAAAAAGGCAAACCAAACAAGTTTTCGTACTTTTTATCTCAAAAACTACTCTACAAACGCAAACCAAGCACACCTAATATATTCCCCCTCATTATCAGAATGCAAAATTTTGACAACCGCTCCAAACTGAGTGCAAACCATTTTATGAAAGTTTTGAAATACAAAAAACACCTCACTCTTATCTTTCATCAGATATACCCAAGTGGCCCGAGAACAGTCTATGAAAATAAAAAACCATTTTTGACCTTTTAAAGACACAAAACGTGAGGGACCCCATACATCAGAATGAATCAAAGCACATGGAACTAAACTTTTATTAATAGAAGGAGCAAAATAAGCTCTGTGTTACTTTCCAAGTTGAAAAGACTCACACTAAAAATCAAACACATTATTTTTCTCAAATATAGAAGGAAATAAATGCTTAAGTAGTAAAAAGGAGAGATGTCCTAAACGACGGTGCCACAGCCAAAGGTCTTCCTTGGTGGATGGTAACTAAATAAATGAATAAGCCAGCTTGTCTGTCTGATCCAGAATGTAAAGACCATGTTTCGCTCTACCACTGCCAATCATCTTCCTCGTGATAAGGTCCTAAAAAAGACAATGATCAGGAAAAAAAACATCACGCTACAATTCAAGTCACAAGTAATACGACTCAAAGATAAAAAAATTAACACTAAAATTGGGAAGATGGAGGACGAAGGATAAAGGAAAGAAAGAGGTGGCATGAATTAAACCTTTCCCTGACACAAACGAAATGGTACCATTAGCAATACACACTTTTTCCTGACCTGAGGAGGGATTATACTCTAAGAACAAATGAGATAAACTAGACATATGATCAAAGTACTAGAATCAATGCACATGAAGAGGAAGCCAAGTTACCTGAATTGGCAAAGGAAGAAGAGGATGCACCTGTGGTGGAAATGGAGGCTCAACGGTCTAGCAAGTGATGAAAAGCAATCTCAAAATCTGAGGCAGATAACCCCGAAAGATCAGTAACAGGTGAGACAACTAAAGATGGTGACTCAACCGTGTCTGAAAGATGTGCCCGAGCATTGGCCCCTCGGCCTCTAAACTGACTAGACTTATCCCCTCGAGTACCAGGACGATCTCCTCGGCCACCAGAAGGAGTCCCATGCAACTTTCAACAAGTCTCTCGTGTGTGTCAAGGTCTATAGCAGTAGTCACAAAAAAGATTATCCTTCTCAGAAGAAGGACGAGAACCACGAGTCACACGCTCTTGATCGCGAGGGGGTGCAGAAACAAAGGCCGAGCGATCAATAGTGGTAGAAGGAAGCATCGTAGAACATCGACTCCTCATTCTGCACAAAAGTAAAGGCTTTCTAGAGAGAAGGAAGCATGTCCATGCCAAATACTCTGCTCCGAACTAGATCATACTCCACATTTAGGCCTTCTAAGAACTTGGAGACCCGCTCTTGCGCCATAAACTTTCGATAACCAACAGAATCAGTGGGACAGACAAGCTTGTAATCCTGAAGGAGATCAAGCCGCTTCCACCCATTGCTAAGGAAAGTAAAATACTGGAGGATAGTCATCTCACCTTGTACCGACCTTTCAATGGAGCGACGTAACTCGAAAACCAGTGAAAAGTTCCCCTTCCTGGAGTAAGTAGTAGCTACAACCTCCCAAATATCCTGGGCAGTGTCCATAGACAAGTAACCCTCTCCAATCTCTGGTACCATAGAATGGATCAACCAACCCATGATTAGAGAATTGGTGATCTCCTACTGGCCATAACTAGGATCCGTGGTATTGGGTGTCTGCATCCTTCCATTAACATACCTCATCTTCTCTCTGCTATTTAAAAAAATAGTCAGACTCTCCAGGCTAGATAATTCTGACCATTGAATAAAGAGGTGGTGATTTTTAGGCCAGGATTGAGGTCATCAGTCATAGTAGGAGGTATAACGAGCTCTCGCTCTTAGGTAACTGAGAAGTAATTGACTCACTAGTGGAATTTGCCATGGATATTCTACTAAGTAACCTTCAAACCCAGTGCCAATCACAAACCCGGAAGATGGTTGAGGAATAGTAAGCACTATGACCACGAAAAAAATATTAGAAAAATTAAGAACTCATTTTTTTTTTTTTTTAAATTTTTTTAGAGAAGAAGTAAACAAGACTATTTAGTATAACCTGGTTAATACATCAGCAAAGCTACGAATGAAGTCAAAACAGGTTGTCGGTTGGGCAAAAAAACAAGTCTGTCGAATGACACTGATGCAGTCGGCAAGGCTAGGACAGCCAGCAGGAGTGATCGACTAGGCCAGGCCTGTCGGCAGTGACCAACTACGCTGGGGCAGCCACCGGCAGTCTTCAGCAGCCAGCGACTGGGCCAAGAAGCCCTTCTGCAGTGGCCGACTAGGCTAGGGAAGTTGTTACACCTGTCAAAACTGAATAGGTAGTTTTGTAGTGGCTGTGTGGTGAGGTAGGGGTGGCTGTGAGGTGAATGGATTTAGGTTTGTGGCTTTGATACCATGAAAATTTTAGAGAATAAAAAGAGATAGGGAATGAGTGAGACCTCATCCCCTTTTATATTAAAAATAAAGCATAATTACAGGAGTTCCATAAGACACGAATTAGGGGAGAGCTCATTACAGCCCATTACATCAATCAAGGAATAAAAACAAATCAGAATAAAATATATAAATATAATTTCCTATTCTAACAAACATCACTTCCATAGAATGAACATGTTCAATAGAACTGCAAAATCGAACAAATTACTTTTTATTCCCAAAAAAAATTAACCAGATTAGAGTAGAAGGAACCATACAGTCTGGAAGTCTCTACTTTGGAGCACTCCAATTGAACAAAGCCTAGCAACAAACGGACGTATTACTTCCAAAAGCATATTATTTATTTCAACAGCGTCTTGGCCCATAGCAACCTAGCATTACAACAATAATGTCAGACCCATAACTAAGCTTTTATGAACATTGAACTTCAGCACAAACAAACTAGTACATACCTCTATTAATTCAATCTTTCTGTCATGCACATATGGGATCACATCATGGTCATTTTCATTACGATATTCAAGTGTTGAGATTTGTAAGTTATCGATAATTTGCTGGATGGTCTGCTGCTTTGCTGAATAATCAAAGCCATGAAATAATAGATCTACAAGAAACTTAACAAAATCCAAATATAATGATAACTAACTTACATCCTGGTGTTGCAGTTAAAGCTAATATTCTGAGCTGCACAGGTACAGCCATCAACTACAAATTCAAAGCACCATCACTATCTAAAACAGTAAAATTTATCCACAAATATGAAATTACACACCAACCAATAGCAGATGGGCAGAGTGACAAAGCTTTAAGGAGGGATAGAAGAAATGAATTTACAAACCTCACGAACTGCCACACAGTAGGAATAATTTCCCATTGCTCGATGAGCCTCATCAATCACCAAACACACTAGGTGTTTAACCAAACATGTACCTATAACAGATTATTTTTTAAGTAAAGCCCAGGGAAAAAAACAGAAAAGAAAAGAAAGTTGCACAAGCTATGTAGAAATTAAAGAGTTTATACAATTGTTAGTATTATCATTGTTATTATATAAATGCTTGTTTATGAAAAAATATACTAAATAGCTCTTCACTTTATTTTCACAAAACAAGTACCAAGACATAAATAAATAAAACCGCTACATATTTATGAACCATTTATTCATTTTTTTTTAGGTACATGTTATAAAGACCAACAGCTATACCAGCAAGAGGGAGAGTTTGATTAACTTAGACGCATGACTTGAACACTAGGAAGATTAAAAGGAGGGGACTAAATGAAGTAACGATCCTTCCAAAAGCAGTATATAAGGCATAGAAATCCCAATTCATTGGGCCTTTTACCTAATCAAATAGAAAGCTCCAAGGGAGAGCCATATTCTACTAACCCAAACTATCACATTGAATAAATCCTTGTCTAAAGAAGGAACTGACCCTAGATAGGGTTGAATGGCAAAATATGACATGTAGAAGACAACCAATGGTTGGACGTAAATTGGTATATTTTTATCAAATTTCAAGAGTTTATTTCAAGTCATTTATCCAAATCAGCCACCAAACTAAAAATAAATGGAAAGGAGAGAAAGAAAAACTTAAACCAACATATTCCAGTTTTTCAAAGGATGTTAATGAAAATTCATACTAGTATGAACCCATCTTAATGAGTTTCACATCTATGGTTTTTTTTTCTTTTTTCTTTTTTTTCCTATTCCTAATTAATTCCCTTGACTCCACACCTTACTATTATCCTCCATGCCTAGAGAGCTAAAATCAATTACCGATATTAACATGAATGTATTCAAGAAGTCAGAATTTTGACTTCATATTCTATATACATTGCCAAAGCATCATCAAAGACTCAAGACAGATTTGGATAATTCCAAGATCCATTCATTTGTCTTCCAAAACATATCAGAAGTGCATTCAAGAGATTCACCAGATTGAATATCCTTCTCCAGTACTTGTGGAGTAACAAAGAAAACACGTTTATCTTTCCAAAGGCATGCTCTTCTCGTAGGACTCGTTTGACCTGTCAAATCTATTGTCCATTCCTGCAATCAGTTTAATACCAAACTTCTCAAGATATGTAGATGATTCTGATTATGTAAATCACCCGATTAAAAGCCCAGATTGGGCAAACAACCTCACGGAAGGAAAAAAAATAGTATCTTACTTGAGGTATTCCTACAATATTATGGCATGCTTCTATTTGTTGCATAACAAGCGGTCGAGAAGGAGCAGAAAAAACAATTTTTCCTGCCGTGGAAACACCAAGATGCATGTCAATGTTCCAGAACTGAGGGTCATAAACCAATCCTAATAAGAAAAATTAAATAGGGAAGTTGTCTGTAATATACAGGACTATCAGGCTTTGCATATAACTGAAGATTTATAAATTCAAACACTTCTCAACAAGCTAAGAAGCAACATCTTTAACAAACAGTAAACAACAGTTCAAGCAAATTAATCATGACTCAAATTCATTGCATTCAATCAACATCAATGCTTCATCAAGAACAGTGGATCAAGTATTTCAAAAAAAATTATGGTTAAGCATAATTATTGTAATAGTCGGCTTCTAGAACTTCAACTTTGATTTCAACTGCGTTAATAAGTGATTTTCACTCATGGAAGATTATAGATGCTTGTGGAAACTAGGATCCCCTATATTTTGACAAGATGAGAGGTGGAGCAAGATATGGTATCATAACTATACAAAAGTATCAGATTGCAGAATCATCAATCGATTGATATTTAAGACAAGTCTTAGTAATCAATATTATAAAGGCACCCCGTTATTCCCTCTTTCATCAATTTCTAAATGCAAAACCAATATAAGAAGCACTACTAGAACTTCCAAAACCTTTTTGCAAGACAAATTGCTCTATGCAAGCACTCTGGTGTCTATTTCAGCCCCAGGTCATGAAATCATAAATTTAGATCTTCTTTACAGATATCTTGATTTTATGTATTTCCCTCCACAGGGCAGTGGAAAGAAGAAATGGCAACTCAAAGGAAAACAAAACAATAGAAACAAGAGATGATTCTTGTTAAAAAATAAAGAGAAAAAGAGAAAAAGAGGAGGGGAAGAGAAAGAAATTTACAGTGTGATTCCTCCTTGACATAAATCAAGTTGCAACATCATCCCACAATTTCAGTGCTAAAGTGCCTATCCACCTAACTACTTACTGACTAAATATCACTTCTCAACTTTCATTTATTTGGAATCCTTTTCCTTCTTTTGCTAAGGATTTCATCTTTACACTATTCTCTTTTTCACTTAAATAAGATAAGCCAAAATAGTCAAGAATAGAAATGTGAAACATAAGTGATCTCGCATGGATTGGGTTCAAACTAAAAAGGGAATATCTACAGAACCATCACTGTGTTTGGTTTCAATTTTATGGACATTGAGTTTTTTTGTTTTTTGTTTTTAGTTATTTTTAGTGAATATTTTTAAAATTTTAAGCACTTTTTTTTATTTTTTTAGATTCACCTTACTTAGACCTGGTTTGGCATATTCTAAAAAAGTCAAAAAGTCACTATCCTATTTAAGTCACATCATCTTATTTAAGTCACATCACCTCTCTACCACATCACTTCAAACCCAACCTATATTTCATAAAAAGTCAAAAAGTACATTTATTTAGAACATCTCAAACAACCCCTCAGGTATATCTAAAAAGTAAAATATCTGTAAAAAAAATATTTTAAAAAATCAATAAATACACAAGAATACGAAAAATGCACCGAATTTTCGTTTTTTCTTTTTTTCTTTTTTTTGTATTTTGGTATTTAGTGAATTTTTTTAAGATTTTTTTTCACAAATATTATACTTTTCAAGTGTACTTATGTTAGGTGTATCTAAAAATTAAAAAAATTACTTAAAATATTAAAAAAAAATCAGTGAAAACAAAAAAACACAGAAAACAAAAAGTTCCAATTTTCTAAAAAGTGAATTCAGAAAACTCCAACCAAACAAGCTGAACCTGAGTAAACTTACAAACCCTTCCTCTTTACTTGGTGATTTGCAGAACAGATACCTTCTTAAAGCTGAGAAAACTTGTGAATCCTTCAACATTATTTGATCATCTTATTCCTTGGTGATTTGCAGAACAGATACCTTCTTAAAGCTGAGAAAACTTGTGAATCCTTCAACATTATTTGATCATCTTATTCAAAACTACAACAAAAAGAAGAAACAAGAACTTGTGTTCTCAATTGTTTAAACCAAGGCAGCAACAGTTTATTCTTAAGGGTAAATTACACTAACCTCCCTTAAAGTTCGGGAAAAAAAAGTGAATTCAGAAAACTCCAACCAAACAAGCTGAACCTGAGTAAACTTACAAACCCTTCCTCTTTACTTGGTGATTTGCAGAACAGATACCTTCTTAAAGCTGAGAAAACTTGTGAATCCTTCAACATTATTTGATCATCTTATTCAAAACTACAATAAAAAGAAGAAACAAGGCAGCAACAGTTTATTCTTAAGGGTAAATTACACTAACCTCCCTTAAAGTTCCGGAAAAAAAAAAAAAACTCCACAAATTCGACATAATTACACTATACTCCCTTAAGGTTTTAATTCACCTGACACTTAGCCCCCATTTCATTAATTATTTATTAGTCATATGGATGAAAAAATTGTGTTATCTCTTTTACACTGAAATGCGTTATTTACCACAGTTTATCTTTGAGTCTACACCACTTCTATTAGTTTTGTTTCGTTTAACCTTACTATAGGGAGGTCAGTGTAATAATGCTAAAACTTATTGTATTTTTTCCAAATCTTGGGGGTGGTGAGTGAATTTCGCTAATTCTAATCATCACCATTTCATGTTTGCATGGTAGTTAAGATATTCTCATATGATTGCTGCAACCTTAACTTTGAATATGCACTTAAAGAAAAGGAAAACATATGCATTATACTTAGCTAGATTGACAAACACAAATCTAGCTAAAATTAATGTAAAGATAAGTTGGAAGCACAAGAGAAAGGTAGGGATAAAAGAGTATTGTCAACTACATGGCATTCTTTATTAGTTGTTGTAGGTCCAAAGTAGGGTGCCCCCACTCCATTAACCAAATATATCAACCATGCCTATCTGCGTTTGTCATAAAGCTATGAAAATTACACTTATCAACTATGGAGTACTGTGCTAGCTATTCAAATTATGTAACAAATGGGCAAAAACTAATGCTAAAAGAACCAATTGAAACTAAGTGACACATGAAGAGGCAAATATATTAACTTCACACAACTAGGTGCATGAAAGCAATAGAAAAGTGTAATAGACTATTGGAATACCTTCTGGAAACCATCTAAAGTAATTATACATTACAACAGCAGCAATAAGAGTTTTCCCAAGTCCGGTTGGCAATGCCACCAAGGTATTTGAAAATAGGGCTGTCCTGGTTATGGATAGTTGATAATCACGAAGAGGAACATTTACTGCCAGAGGGGAAAGAAAGAGTAGCATATCAGCTTATTGTTGCAAAAAATGATTATAAATATATATTTCCAAGCCCAAACCCGGTTTTAGTGGGACGATCGTGCACAGTTTTACCCTTTTATATATCTCCTACTAGCTCATACATGCATTTGTATGCCTAGACATATAGGTCTATATTAAATCCACACACATAAGAGCATCCCCAATCCTTACTCCTTTTTTTTCCATCAATTTGAGTGAAAATTTGGTTCAAAGCTTGATTGGATATGGACCACTCCAATCCTTACTCTCTTCTTTCAATCAAATCTTTTTGAAAAATCTCAACCTTGAAAACCTGCTTTAACCATTTTTTATGAAAGAAAATCACCTCCCATTCTATACTCCTCTTAAAATTGCAAGAAATTTGAGTAAAAAGTAGAAATTTGGTGAAGGATTTGGTTCATCCTTGGTTTGTTGAAAATTTTGCCTCTCTCGTGATTTGATACAAGTTTGATGTCATGATTGGAGCTCACTTTTAACTCTTTATCATCGAATTTGGATTGGAGATGCTCTAATATGTAGTTTCTAATACATGTGTACAAATTTTGTCAGTATAGCAAGATAAACCACTGCCTCACAAATAAATAACTAGTAAAAACCTTTTTCACCAAACTACCCAAAAACCCACTTCCCCAAAACAAAAGTAGATGGAAATTAACTATAGAACAGTGAACAAGACCTGGGTAAATCCATGTTTTGGCAGCCTCAGCATCAATATTAAGGCAGCTGACCCCTTCACTACCCTCGTACTTATTAGGGTCAATGTCCCCAACGTTCCGATTCTCTGGTGGAGCACTCGGGCCAGGCTTCCTGATGAATTTATCAAGAGTGGATTGCCTGGAAGGCAAAGATTTAATGTGGGTATTGTTAGAATATGGAATGTTAGTGGTTAAGGGGGGCTTAGTAGAGAGTTGATGGAGAGGATGGTGATGATGAATTGGGTTTGAAGTGGATGGATTGGTGGTGGCCTGGCAAGCGAAATCAATCTCTCTAACAGCTGCTTCCCAATCGAATTCCTATAAAGAAATTAGAGTTTATGAGAAAGAATGAAATGGAAGAGATATATGCATATATATAGGGGATAGAGATGAATTGTACTCACATCTTCGTCGTCAATGACATTGTGGATAATCGTTGAAGCCATTAACACGATTGAAGAAACCCTCCTCGAGTGACGGAAGTGGAGAAGAGCGAAAAAGGGCAGAGTGAGAGAGAGAGAGGGCGCGCAAACTTCAGAAGGTCATGTCAGCGCCTATTCTCTCCGCTTCAATTATCTTTTTTGTTTTTTTGAACTCCCTTATGAAGGAAGTTTTAAGGAGAAAACAAAAATATAAAAAAACAAAAACAAAAACAAAAACAAAAACAAAAATTAAGGTAGAGATTTGGTAGAGTTTTAGAATTATAATTTGATAATAGAGTTATATTCTAAATTTATAAGTTTTGGAATTATGATTTGAATATAAAAAATTTATTTGGTTATGAGTTTTGAAAAGAGTTGTGAATTTTTAATATAACATATGAAATGAGAAAAGTTGTTTGATTATGAGTTTTGAAAAGAGTTTTCAAAACATAGGCTAAGTTTGGCATCTTCAAAAAAATTCAAAAAGTGACTATCCTATTTAAGTCACATCATCTTATTTAAGTCACATCACCTCTCTACCACATCACTTCAAATCCAACCCATATTTCATAAAAGTCAAAAAATGCATTTATTTAAAACATTACAAACAACCCCTTAATTCAAAAACTTATAACTCATAACTAAACACACAATTCAAAATTCTATCAATTCAAAATTCATAATCAAACTCTTTTTAAAATTCAATTCAAAAAAAAAAAATATTGAAAAAAATAATTTTTTTATTTAAAAAAATTTTAAAATTCTGAAAATATTTTTTTATTTAAAATATTACAAAATATGTATTATTATTTGTTAAAAAAAATATTCAACTAGTGTTTTAAAATTACTTTTGATTGTATATTTGGTTGGAACTTTTTTTTAATTGTTTTGTTTAAAAATGTTTTTTTATTTTTTAAAAATTACTATGACAAATTAATTTTTATTTAATTTTTTTTTTTGTTAATTTTAAATAAACGTCCAAATAATTTGTCATTTTAGCCTAAAAAATATATTTTCTATATTTAAAAAATATCAAAAACAAATATAATTTTTTTTTTCCAGATAACAAGTGCTAGTTCCAAAAAAAAAATTCCCGATCAACTGGCCAGACTTCTAGGGAGACGATCGGGTCGACCCAAAATATTTGAATACTGACTGGGAGGAGCTCTACTAAAGGTATTGTGAAAGGTGTTTTGAAATGTGAGTTTAGAATCAGTTTTTGAAAACTCCATTCAAGTAGAGGCTTCACGTATGAGGATGAAACTATGATTCCAAAACTACGCCAAATATAACCTTAGTTTAAGCATTTTAATAAAATAAAAACTAATAGACCGCACGCTACATAAATTAATTTCCACCCTGCAATCATTCACGTAAAAAATTCAATGTAGGTAAGTTTGGTTTAACAGACTTTTCCTGTAATAAAACTAATAAAGGTACGATGTAATTTTTCTTTTGTTTTTTTTTTTTTTTTTCAAATTAACTTTTGGAGCAGCAGTTTTTAGCTTTTTGTGTTTTACCCTTTTTTTTTATAATAGTTGCATTGGCCAAAACATATAAGTGGGTACTAAAGCCTCGTTTGGGAACATGTTAATTTAGTAATTTTTTAGTTATTTGGTTAAAATATGAGCTAAAATAATTAATATGTTTGGGATAATTTTTTGGCTTTTTACGAAAAGATGTGCAAAAAGTAGAGAGAAAAGAGAACCTTTGACTTTTTGGTATAGATTGTTGACTTTTTGGCTAATTTAGTAACTTTTTGGTTAAAAATGAAGGTTCCCAAACAAGGCCTAAATGTATGATAAAAGAATAAAAATTAGTATAGACATTTCACGTATTATTTAGCCTCCGTTTGGGAAGTGGGTTGGCTTTTTGGCTTTTTGGCTTTTTTGGCTATTTTAGCCTGGGCTAAAAAACTTGGTTCGGAAAGGGCTTTTTGGCTTTTTTGGCTTTTTTTGTGAGAAAAGAATGTAATGATTATGGGTTGGATGTGATGTTTTGTTTGTTATGGCTAAAATAGCCTATTTTGTTTTTTGTGGCTAAAATAGCCAAAAAAGCCTCAAAACCATCTTGCCAAACAGAGGTTTAAGGTTGCGTTTGGTAAAATTTTATAAATATGATTTGAGAGTATGAGTTGTATTTTGAGTTTGTGAGTTGTGAAATTATGATTTGAGTGTAGAAAATTTTTTTGGTTATGATTTTTGAATAGAGTGTTGAATTGAGTTTTGATTTGAGTGTGGAATTGAGTTTTGAAAGTTTGATTTCACATGTGAAGCAAGAAAATTTGTTTGGTTATGAGTTTTAAAAAAAAAATTCAAAACTTAATTCAAATTGTTATAACTCATAACAAAACACACTACTTTCACACTATTGAAAATTCCGATCAACACTTATAACCAAACTCTTTTTAAAATTCAATTAAAAAAAATTATTATTAACAGAAAATAACATTAATCAATTTTTTAATTGAAAATACTACCAAGGAAATAATTTTTTTTCAAAATAAATATTCAAAATATTTAAATCATAAATATTTAAATAATTTAAATAATCTAAAAAATTTAATAAGTAAAAAATTAAAATAAATATTCAAAAAATTTAAATCGTAAAAATTTAAATAATGTAAAATGTTAATATTTTAAATTTTAAAATAACTCTATACTCAAATCGTAACTAAACACATAAAACAAAACTCAATTAAGAAATTATTTTTAAAACTCATAACCAAAC